AACCTATGCTCTTTCTGTAGTCAAAAGATGAGGCCATTTGCTCGAGTTACAGGGAGTCTAGAGGCTTGACAAGAACTCAACAGCCATTTACCTATATGCCATTTCTCATTAGTAAGAGATCTGCTTCTGAAACTTTCAGGGCACAATACCCAATGATGGAGGAATATCTTCTGAAAATTTCACATGAACTCATTGAACTATCGCTAAGTTATTAATCTCTCAATGGTATGATATAGTTTTTCGGTTTATCAATATTTACACTAAAATGATCATAGTTCATGAATAGATAGATAAACTTTAATGAAATTTTTAGTGCAAATAGCTACTAGGTAGGGCTTCAAAATGAGAGGTTGGCCGACTCAAAATATCTTACCTTTCTCGAGTTATCAAGTTCATAATGCATACCAACGACATTCATTAGAACTCCATTCTTACTCAAGCAAATGTGGTATAGATGGTGCCGCTAACCTACATTCTTCATGGGCTGCCTGCACACCAAATTTCAGTCGCTCAGCTCTTGTATGGACTGAGATATGAGGGGGGGGGGATACTTTTGTCAAGTAGTGTACATGTCATATCAACGAAAACTCTTCAATAACACAAAACAGTTATTTTTCAAATTCAGTAGATATATCTGATTGTCTCGTATGATTCTTTTCTTGTTGTATTCAGTTGTGATTTAATTCTTTCGGGTTTATAAAAAAAAATTTGTGTGATGATTGAAATTAATGAAACGTTTAGGTGATGATGTATGAGCAAATCGTAATATGTCTTAGTTGAATACGTTGGCTGTCTTGAAATTTTAAAATTGTGAATAGGGTCTTTTGGTTTTAGTAGTTTTTCTTCAGACTTGGTTAATAATATCAACTTAGATATATTACTTTTGTTTCATTCGTGCACAGCTACTTTGCATGTCTATGATAATGATATGAAAGGTGTGAAGAGATAAGAAGTTGTTACAGAACACGATGAAAATCATACTCTTTCGTTCTTCTCACACGAAGATGAAAGAAGAACTGCCATGACCTATTTATGGTTGCATGTGTGAGCTTGCCCACTCGCTCGAAGAATCTCTTCAACGCCTAATTTCTTACATGAATTAACTTAGTTAAGCAATTGTACCAGCTAGAGAACTATATCTTAATCGAAACCCGTACGATTTTATCAAAGACTAATTAGTTGTCATTTTTTCTCTGTTTAAAAACTCAATGAATTGAATGACTCAAATTTTGAAAATTACCACAAGTTGATAAAAATTGTGAGAACAATTCTTTCGGATAAAGATAGTTTTTATCACGTGATGAGTCGAGATCATCATACTGAAGATAACCATATCGTCAAAGTATGCTTACTGTTCTAAAATCTGTTTTATACTCTTATTCTCTTTAAATTCTTTTCGACTTCTTTGTATTGAAGATTGATTATATTGCAGAGTTTTTACACAAGATAAGAATGTTGTTTTTTTTGTTGCGTTGTTGCAAGTAAGCTGCAACATTTTTCATTTTTGTAAATGATGTGACAAAATACGCTTTATCATTGCATTCTACTGATATGGCGTATAAAAGTGCAACTACCTTTTAAATTATATCTTTAATTGCGTTTTGACAATAGAGAAGTAACATACAACAACAATGAAAATAATTTTTGTTCTCTGTCTCCTTTTCGTGAACGCTTATTGTGCGCCAGTCTTTAATGAACAATTAAATGATTCATGGACATTATTTAAACGTATTTTTAAGAGAGAATATACATCAAAAGAGGAAGAAATTGTTCGGTGAGTAGAGTACATCATTTGTAATTGTTCTCAATAGCACTGCTTTCTCTCATATAATATTAATAGACGAACAATATGGGAAAAAAATCTTGCCAAGATTCGTAAACACAATCTAGAATTCGATATGGGTCTTCATAGTTACACAATGGAAATGAATCGTTTCGGTGATTTGGTACGTCTTTTAGGTCTATTGATTTTGTTAGTAAATATGTGATTGTATAGACTCATGAAGAATTCAAGAAACAAATGAATGGATTTAAGATGAATGCTAACGTCGATCAAAGTAAATATGATCGTCATATGTTTTTGGCTCCATCAAATGTTGTTATTCCCGATCAAGTCGGTAAGTTTTATCATTAAATAACTTTTTTCTTGAAAAAAATATATTCAATATGTATGGGTCTACATAGATTGGCGCAAAGAAGGATATGTTACTCCTGTTAAAGATCAAGGCCAATGTGGATCATGTTGGGCTTTTTCAGCTACTGGTTCACTCGAAGGTCAAACATTTGCTAAAACCAAAACACTTCCTTCACTATCTGAACAACAATTGGTCGATTGTTCGAGCAAATTTGGTAACGAGGGATGTGATGGTGGATTGATGAATAATGCCTTTGAATATATCAAACAGAACAATGGTATAGATTCCGAAAAGAGTTACCCATATCAAGCCTATGATGGAAAATGCCGTTTCAAACCAGAAGATGTTGCTGCCACTGATATTGTGAGTGCTATCTTTCAGAAGAAAATAAAAAATTATTATGTACGATTTTCATAGGGCTTCGCTTATGTTAAGGAAAAAAATGAAACCGACCTTACGATTGCAATTGCTACAGTCGGTCCTATTTCAGTCGCTATTGATGCTTCGCAAGATTCATTCCAATTTTACTCGGGCGGTATCTATAATGAACCAATGTGCTCATCGACTGACCTTGACCATGGTGTGTTGGCTGTTGGATATGGCAGTGAGGGAAAGAAACATCCAATTGATTATTATATTGTAAAGAACTCATGGGGTGAAGGATGGGGTGATGATGGTTATATTTTAATGCTTCGAAACTCAAACAATCAATGCGGTATAGCCACTATGGCCAGTTATCCATTTGTTTAACTGTGCGATCCTCCTATCTGAAAACGTTACAACATTATTTTTTTTTCATAAATTTAAATAAAATTTAAGCGAACATCGAACAAGGAAGTGGAAATTTGCTACTTGAGTAAGAATATAGGAAATCTAAAAGAGTCATGCAGTATTCATTTTAATCTGAAGAAATTAATCTAGTGAATTAATTTCAGCAAGACTCATGATGGTTGATCAATGCAGTTATAAGACAAACCATTAGTCAAGACTATTCTACCCTATTTCAAAGAGTTGAGTTGGTATTGTTCTCGTTTACATTCTCTATTTCTACAAAAGTACAGAAAACTCTATGACCCCAATATTAACGAAAGTTTCTTGGTTATAGGCAGATTTCAATGTAAACATCCGTTATCATCGATAATGAAAAGAAACTAGCAGTGCAGTCAATGTATAGCTGATTACCTAATCTTTTTCCAGAACAATATGAAATAATCCTCTGCATGTACAACAGAACTTGATTCGAAACGTACTGATTTTCTCCATCGTTTATCTCACATTGTATTATTCATGTTTTTCACTTATTTTCAATATAAAAAGAACGGATGCTCGACTAAAAAAAAAACCTTTCGTTTTACATAGCAGACTACAATAAAGTCTTTACTAAGATTTGAAGGCTTACTTACTCGATGTCTATTAGTAAATAGTTCTTTGAGAAAAAACCTGTTCTTGTATGCAAAATATCACGACTTTGTGTTCAAGATGATAGAAAAAAAGCAGATTGCCATTACATGGTTGAATTTAGCAAAGATGTCCTGGACATTATTAATCACGATACTCATTAAAACATATATTTGACGAGTTCAAAACTTGCTTTTCCACGAGATGTATAGATGAATGTAAAGAATTATAGACATATTCTCAGCATGATATTACTTCCGAACTTGATGTACTATTGTGAAGAGTTCTAGTAAAGATACGAAAAGTTATAGCCATTTTCTAATAATTATCATGAAAAACATTGTCTTATTCCTTTTTCTCCTTTAATAGTCGACAACAAAAGTTTTGGATGCTAAAAAAAATTGTATCACATAAGTTAACTTCCCGTTATAATATTACATGATAAAGTTTATTATGATGATTTTTCCTAATTTCGAATATAATTTTTAAAAAACACATTAATCTTTGTTTTTTTTATTATTGTTCACTAGGGGAAACCACTAAGTACTATATACTTAGAGCACATGTACAAATGATGAAGAAATGCACGACAACGTTTTTTCCACAATAATGTATAATATCGATGTGTTGTATTCAGTTGTTTTTGATCAATGCCAAATTTTTCAGATGACTGCTTACAATGTCTATTTAAAAAAAACAATGTTCCTTCACAAGAATATTTAGATAACCTTTGTATATACATGAGAGAAGTGATGCTGGACATCAATGGCGATTGTCACTTTTTATATAGTATCATTGACTGTTTGCTACTTGTACTTATAAACTAGCAATGAGAAGAAGTATAATAATAATTGTGAGCCTGATATCAAGTTTTGACCATGCTTGTCCTTCTTCAAATGCAAGCAACGCAAGTGAAAAGCATTTGGCTTTTGTTTATTATGCTCTTTTATTCCATCTTCATTATATATCAATACAGAACATAAGAGGAAGTGAAGTGGTCGCCGCTTTATAGAGATAATGTCATTGCTTGATTATTAGTTGCGGTGTTCGGCTTATTTAAGTACTTGAATGACATTTATTTTGGACAAATCTCTTTGCTTCCACTCTTCTACACATCTATATTCAAGTATAAAACAGAGTTAACATTACCACTTGCAAGTTGTTTTTCTTTCGTTTCCTTATTGTACTTATCTTGTTTGTTCTTCAACTTTCAATGCTGTATCGTGGTAAAAAGACGTGTAATATCGGACACTGAATATCTAACTCTGCAAAATAAGAGTATACAATAAAACATCAGTCTCGTTTTCTCTTTCAGTATGGATGAAGTGAAGTCTACACCACACCAACAAGTTCCAAAAGTCTGCTTTTATTATTCAATATTAAACTTTGGCAATGAGCTGAAAATATCTTCTGTGATGCGTCACTGATCTACTTTTATGTTATTGTACATCTCTGTAATGAATCAATTTGATTTACTGAGTGTCAAAAACTCTTCACGTACTTTGCGATTAGTACGAAAGACGCCTAGCATAGCAGATACTGTTGTGCGCAAACTCACTTTCTGAATTCCTCGTGTAATCATACATATATAACTGGAAAAGATAAGGAAAAATAAATACCATATCAATGTTTCTACTTTAATTGCATACACTTACACGCATTCGATGATGACAGCAACGCTTGATGATTGTTGTATGACTTATTCGATTGCTTCAGCTATCTCTCGTCTTAGACGCTCTTGAACTATAATAAGAACTACATAGAAATCTGATGTACTGCTAAAGCTAACCTTGCAGGGTGTGACTAAAAATTTCGATGCATCTTGAATCAAAAGAGAATTAATTTATATGTGTACATATATATATATATATTTATACTGTAAGGTAACTATTGCTTACCTTGCTACTTTACTCAAGCCAAGCACTGCTTTATTAGGCAAATATCCAACTATGACTTTGCCGAAAAAAGACACTCTAATATAAGTATGAGCAGCAAATATGGATCAAATGAATATTTAAGACTCTCACCGATGATTTTCGCATGGCTCATCACAAATAGCATTCTTCACAACATCAGTAATTGACTGTTCATAGTCTTTAGTGGACAACAACATCGTCTCAGCGGCACGCATCTGTGTCTTTATAAGACCTTTGAACAAAATCTATCTTGCAGCAGAAAATGAATAAATTGGATTACCTTGACGTGAACATACATTATTTGTCGAGCTAGTATCGTGTTCGCGCAATGCATTATGATCGGCTATACTCAAGTGAAATGTTCCGTTACGCTATTGTTATTATTTTTTTTTATGATAATTGATGTGTCCAAAGTAATCGAAGCTTTTTCAGTCGACTGTTCAGAATTATAAGCTTCATTGGTGATTAGATGTCTTACTTCAGCTGCCAAATCGTCATTTTTGCGTCATCAAAGAACAATTTCCTGATAGAAATGTCGAATTTATTTAATCACTAGGTTTTGTTGAACCATCTTCGCGAAAAAATATATGTGTTAGGCAAACTTGAGATTTAGGCAAAATTAAGCAGGATTTAAAAAAAATTAAAAAGGTCAAATAAGATGAGAATAAAGAACTGATCTTACATATTTACGTATATTAAGTAATATTTAACGTAAATTGAAATCTAACTAAGTTTATGAAGCGGTACAGTTTGGTAGCGTTCTCGATTGAATTTTAATTTGCCTAAGCAAGCTCCGACCTAAAAAAAGTAGAAAGGACCTTTAAGCTTATGATTTTTGAATGGCATTTTCTATCGATATTTATTGATCTTCAAATTTAGCGTGGTTAATAGATGATATGTAAAGTATAGATATCATGCTGTTAAGTTTTGTAAAGTTATTTATTAACCAAAAAAAATGAAGGGTGTTTTAGCTTATGTATTCGTAGTGGTAGGACAATACCTGCCTTCTCTTGGAACTTAATGGTCCCAAAGTTTAAATTGCAATTTCGCTTGTTCATAAAGATACTTTGGAAAATTATTTTTCGATGTTGCCGCAGAAGTAGTCATTAGTGCATTTATTAAAGTACGGATAAGTGCAAAATAAATACTCTATCTAAATTAGTAAAAAAACAGGTACATGTTATAATTTCTTAATACTAACAAACATTAAAAATTATTTTTAGATCAAAAAAGATTATTGCATATTTCTATGCTTGAGTAAAAACGGATTATGTCGAAGTTTAATTTTGTCTGTGACAAATATATAATAACTTAGGAAAAAAGCATTAATTCTTCCTTCTGTTTTTCTAGTCAAATGTTGAGGGGGGAACTTTGGAAGAGTGCATTTATCTGTTTCAACATGTGATAATATTCATTTTTCGTTTCTACTTGCTTGTGAATGTATTCGATACTGTGTGCACTGAAACAGACAAAAAATAAATAAACATGCATGAGACATATACATAAAACTTTTTCATACATTTCAAGTTACGTGAGATTATTACTATTGATCTGTTCTTCAGTAAGATAGATATAATATTGTGCGTCGCGTGTGCAAAAACAAGTCATCGGCGGCATGTGTTGAGTTCTGACCGACATAATTAAATTCAACGTTCTAAACTGTCGTTAGTATTTGGTTTTATGACGGCCAATGTTAGTGTTACTAGCCAGTCACTACAGAGTTATGCAGCTGTAACTTAAATCTTGTAGATGTGATACGAATATTACTAAAACTCGTTGACAATTAATCAAAAACATTTATCGAGATCCTATAGAACATGCTGTAAGATTGGTACCGTTAATGAATAATGATCAACTCCAATCGATGCTAAATAAAATAATTCTCTCTTATTTCTCAACAATTGGTTTTCACTTTTCTAGATTATGCTAGAGCAGTGCGTCCAGTCCAATCAGAAAATCTGAATTCAGTTTTCAGTGACGCTATTGGAAACGTGTTTGCTACTGAGCAATGTAAATAGGAAAGAAACGTGATGAAATAATACAAGTCGCATAAAATGAATCATCACGTAAAAGACCCAAAAAAACACGAAATAATAAAAACAAACTCACTCACATTTAATACATTGTGTGTCATCATTATGGATATTTACATACTTTTACTGTCTTATACAACTTGCCTATTTCTTATTCTTATTGAAAAAGTATTTTGCTAGATGTGCTCATATTTTCTTATGTGCCTTTGTTTATATAAAAGATGAGGAACAACAAAAAAAGATAATAAGTTTGTTTTGATTAGGCTTGTGTTACTACCTGTCAAGTACTAGTATACAATACACATTAATCAACTGATTGACGATGTAGACAAATAAAAGTGGTCAGAAATTATCTTTTTTGTGTAATATTACGAATATATTTGCTTTAATTTTTCATTTAGTTTTCAATTATAGCGCTTAGCTCAGCCACTGGTCTCCAGGACATTGCCATTCTACAATCTGGAACAAAATAAGGTTACAGAAATCAGATACTGATTACTATTCTGATACTAATACATCAACTAGTTCTGATCAGAAGATGGATTCTCCTGTCGAGAACAGTTTGAAATAAAACAAAAACAAATGATCTAAATCAGCCAATGTAAGTCTTTGCCATCAATCCTAGAACAACTACACGCTCGTCACTGGTATAATCTTAGACCAATATTAGAAATTATGACGATGTACAAGACAAAATATCATATGAGATTGAATGTGATCTACATTGCAACAACATTAGCTGCTCTTAAATCAAGATTTCATTTATCAAACAAGCGTATTTTAAATATTTTTGTTTTGCCCCATGAACTTGGTAATAATGCGCGCCAGTTAATTAAGAAGAATTATATATACTTCGATGAAACTATTCAAGTTAAAATTTACAAATTGTGTTTATATTTATGTTTACTTTAAATAAGAACAAAAAATAGATAAACATGTCTAATCAATACATATTATTTTGTTATGCTGCAAATTCATGTTTTTCTACAAGGAAAAACCACTTTATGCGAGATTGTATCAGATAGATCCATAGCAGTGTGACAACGGCAGATTCTTTTAACAACCTATGCGGCGCAGATAACGTTTTAATAGCATCATCACGGCAGGGATACAGCAGTGCATCTGCTATAGACGACATTTCAAAACTGGATGGATTAGTGCAGGATTTGAGTAATTATGCAAATCTAAAATTTTGAAATTAAATGGATTTCATCAATTAGTAATGTCAGTGCTTATTCAGTATAGTGATAGCAGAGATACTCGAAACTTCTTTTTAAATACACCATTATGACACGACAGTGACAGATTTCTAGCCGCAATAGATATCTTTGGTGTGTGCTTATTAAGATCAATGCAGAATGTACAGTTTACTAAACTAGAGGATAACGTAAATTTTATCCTATGTGGTTACGATCATAGAATCGTTTTCATGGCTTTTTATTGAGGATAAAATAGTTCCGAACTAACATTTGACAACAATTGAATTGGTATTATTAAAAATATTTCCATAGATCAGATTTATCGTATGAAATGCTGGTTCTGATACAGTTAAAAGCAGAATTTAATTCTGAACAAAATGATACTAGTGTTCATGTAAATCAGTAAGACGCTTTAGACTTATATAAATCAATCATCAACAACGGCTCGACCTTTCTGAAAAAAGTTATGTTCAGTGCCTATTGTATAGAGTTATAATTGATAATGGTAAGCGGTCGGTGAGGTTTGTTAGAAGATTCCTTTTACCCGCCGTTCTAGGTGTTTTTTGAGTTTTTACAAGTCTTTTTTTATCAATGAAACACTTTTTATTCATGCCCAAGACTATTTCTGCCAAGAGACATGAATCAGACTATAGTATTAAGAGACGATTCATCATAGTACATCTATTAAATTCTATCAACTCACTTTGATATATCAAGTTTTGTTATCCAAGTGGAATCATGTAATTATTTATTACTATAATTTGTCATAAAGGTATTCCATTCCCTTACTGTTTATATGATATATTTCGCTTAAACATAAGAAATACTGAAATGAATATAAGGAGACAAATAGATTATTGCGTGTAGTTAATTAATAATAGCTACCTCTAACGATCTTGTAATCAATGTACAAAACTAATATAATATTTTTAGTCCTATAAAGTTTTCTACTAACCAATAGACATCATACGAGAGAATTGTTTTAGAATCAAATAGTAAAAAGTGCAATAGTCATGTAACAGGACTCTTACGTCATTTTTGTACTGGATTCCCATGTGTTCGATTGCGGTCAAACTGCGACGCAGTTGCGCCGCAACTGCGATCGCACTGTGACCCGCAATTGCGAAAAATTGCGACGCAGTTGCGCGTAACTGCGATGAAAAAATCGCAGTTGCGCGTAACTACGATAAAAAAA